TCAGTTATGCTTTCTTTTATGCTCTTTACTTTAGAATTGTGGACAATTCCAAATTATTTTAAATTTTATTTTTATTTTATTTTTTTATTTGTTATATATTAGGTCAGAGGTTCCCAACCTTTTGGGCATCAGAGATTGGTTACATGGAGAGATTTTTTTTCCCGTGAACCGGAAGGGGTGTGGTTTTCTGTGCTGTCTACTTCCTATGAATGGGGCTTTCCTTGTTTGTGCGGACCAATTGCTGGCATGCCGTGGCCCGGTACTGGTCCATGGACTGGGGTTTGGGGACTCCTATGTTAGGTGAAACAGTTATTAAAATAAAAATATTATTAAAGTATTTCAGCATTATCACAACAAGAAGTAGTATATAACTTTATTGAAGTTATTGTCCTATTCTATTTGACAGAAAGATAAGAAGCAACATAAAAAAGCTTAAGATTTTTGGAGTTATATAACCCTAAAATTAAGGTATTTTTTTATCTAAAGCTGAGGTAACTAAGTAATTTTGTTAGTCTTCTAGAGATGTAAAAATTCTAATTCAAATATTGATAAAGAAAATCATCTGTAGGATAGGATCACCTCTGTTAACAATTGGCCAATTGTGGCTCATGCTTGTAATAGTCTCATTGACAACAGAGTTTAAAACAAGGAGCCGTACTGGCATACTTCTTCTGGATTCTACTCTTTGGAAAGAAGAAAAAATGTTAGAAGGGATCCTGATGCCAAGGAGTCACTGGAACAATAAAGCCTAATCCAAACGTTCAGTGGAGAAGTATGGAGTTCCTGGATCCAGTATGGCGGTATAGACTCCAGCAGAATCATCCCAATTTCCCATTTTAAATGCAGCAAGAAATCAAAATAGCACTGTTAGTAATCTAAACTGGATAGTGGGGCTTTAAGGTATTACAAGCTTTAAGGTAAGATATATAATATTGGGATTTATCTTTAAAGAGTTTTATGATAGACAAGTATGTATTTATATCATTTAGGGCAGGAGTCCCCAACCCCTGGTCTATGGACCGACACCGGGCCACGCCATATCAGCAACCAGGCCATGCAAACAAGTGAAGCCCCATCTGCTGGATACAGGCAGCACACAAAACCATGCCCCTTTTGGTCCGTGAAAAAAATCTTTCTCCAGAGAACCGGTCCCTGGTGCCCAAAAGCCTGGGGGCCTCTGCTTTAAGTTTTTTTAGTTTTTTAAAGTATGGTTTTAACACTGTTGTAGTCCTTATTATAATGGATTTAATATGTTCATTATAGATTTTAGATGACTGAAATATTATACAAGATGTTTGAAGGATGAAACCTGGTATATGTTTCTCATTTATTTATCATCAATGTTAATGACATCTAGGACCCTTTTTTAAAGAAACACAATTTTGAAAAGTACAGGTACTCCTTAACTTACAACAGTTTGTTTAGTGACCATTCAAAGTTACAGCATATGACTGTTTTTCATACTTACGACCATTGAAGCATCCCCATGGTAACATGATCAAAATTCAGACACTTGGCACTGCTCATATTTATGACAGTTGCACTGAGATCCTCTTTTGTGACTTTCTGACAAGCAATGTCAATAGGGATGCCAGATTCACTTAATAACCTTGTTACTAAACAGTTGCAGTGATTCACTTAACAGTTGTGGCAAGAAAGATCATAAAATTGGCAAAACTCACTTAAACAATGTTTCACTTAACAGAAATTTTGGGCTTAATTGTGGTCCTATGTTAAGGACTACTTGTAGTTTATTATAAGCCTTTCTTGCAACAGGTAACTAGGGCATTTTAAAAAAAAGAATAGCCACACAATCAAGATAAAGAACCACATTCTAACTTTTGTACTGATAATTTAGGGAGATAGAATTCGGTTTTATGTTAGGTTGGTGACAACTGACTTCAAATAAAACATAATGTCAGAATCCAATTATATTTCATCTCTAGTTATTGACTATGGAAAACCCATTTCTGCCCTCTGTGGATTCTGTCATATGATGAAAGGGAAGGGGAGTGAACAAAGGGGTTTTATGGCCCTCACTTCCTTTGGTACAACTTCAAAAGGGACAAAGTGGATACCACCAAAAGGACTAACCATAACAATGGGGCCATCAGCTTTCATCTGCTCCTCTCTGAAGTCTTCCTTCCGCCGGCATTGAGGAAAAAGGGGGTGGAAATGTAACACCTGGGATTGTCACTGGAAGGATGGTGGGGTGGGGTTGCTGGGAGCCCCTTAAAACCTTGAACCATAGGGCTTGGCCCCCAAGTCCTGTTTAGAACCCCTGCAACCATTTTCTCTTAATAAAGATGCCTATTGGAAGAAATATTCCAAGAGTTCTGTCTTCTTAAGATGCAAAGTCGGGTGGGTCCTTACATATAAAGAGGACAGAATACATCCCTATTCTGTTCTTCTAAACTGGCATATTAGAAAAAATTGTCATCACTAGCACATTTAATTTGTATAATAGGAAAAAAGATAAATACTAAATACTGTAATTTAGTATTATATAATGATATGTGAGAAAGAGCTTCAGGAATGAGAGGAAGGGCTGCTGCTTAGGAATTGATCTGACGACAGGGGGTGAGCTTCCAGAGCAAGAAACTTAGGAACTAGTTGATCAGGCAGTTAAAAGTGGTAGCTGGCGATTTGTACCTTCAGTTTGGAAGATGCCGTTAATGTAGCCTTACAATAAAATAAGATTAGCGTATCAAGTTGTGTTTCCTATCTGGTTTACCTAGAAGGGCTAAAATATTTTTACTGAAAATCTTCTCACAAAAATTAATTAACTTTTTGTAATTAATGAGAAACTTATGGAACTGGCAAAAATACACAAAAATCTCCAAACTACCATTTTTATAGCATATTGGAACTAGGATACTAATCAAGGAAATACTTCTCTTGGGATTATGTTTCATATCCATATGGCATCTACCAATGGAATATAAAAATTGAAAATTAAATTATTGTTGTGGGAGGAAGGGGGGGGATATGTATTTGTATGTGTATTATATGGGAGCCAAAGGACAGGCCCCAATAGTGTGTGTGTGTGTGTGTGTGTGTGTGTGTGTGTGTGTGTGTGTGTGTGTGTGTATTCTATCACTCTGAGCTTATGCCTAGATCCTGGAGAGCAGACCCTCATAGGCTTGGGCCTTCAGTTGCTGCTGATAAATGCCAAATCAGCTAACAATCCTTATTTCTGACTGATTCCAGAAGAGATGTGTCCAGTTGGATTTAGGATGTGCACTAGCCAAGACCTCAGGGGAGAGGATATAGCAGCTGTCATCTGAGAATCTCTTTTGGCCTTCAGAAACCATGCTCCTCAGGTTTACAGATGTGAAACCCTGTTCCTGAAGCTGGGGTTGTGAGATCAGTTGATGTTATTGCTGCTGTATCAGCCTCCCTGCCCTTTGTAGAAACCAATAATGTGCTGGTTCAGCTCTTTCTAAAAAGTTCCAATTGATATTAATAGGGAGTGAGGAATCCAGTCCAAGGGCACTACTTTGTGGAGTGCTGCAAGGCTTGGAACGCTCTACTACTTAACATCTACATGAAACTGCTTGGTGCAATCATCAATCACCATGGGATGAGGTATCGTCAATATGCAAGTGATACGCAGCTCTACATCTCCAGTGTTGGTGATTCAAGTGATGTTGTGATGGTCGTTTCTCAGTGGGGAGACTATGAAGGTCTGGATAAGGAACAACAGGCTTCAGCTGAACCCTAGTAAGACAGAGTGGCTGTGTACGTGGGAAACCTAGAGATCTGGTTGTTTATCATCTTTAATTCTGGATGGGGTTCCAAACAAACTGGGGATTCTCCTAGACTCACAACTCCTGCTCAAAGAGTAGGTGGCAGTTATGACTAAGAAGTTTTTATGCAACTTCATGTTGTGCATCAGTTGCATCAGTTGCACCCATATCTGGATCATGCGGCCTGTGCACAGTCATTAATGATCTCTCTGCAATGCACTCTATATGGGGCTACCCTTGAACTGTCTTTGGAAGCTGCAGCTAGTACAGAATGCAGTGATGTGAGCAGTTCTGGGGACCTTAGAATAGTGCAGATAACACAGCTATTGTACCAGTTGCATTGGTTACATTTTGCTTTCAGATCCAGTTCATATTGTTTATTGTTACATTTAAAGGTCACTTTATTATTTTTAAAGCCTTTTGTAGGATAGATCCAGACTATCTGAGGAGCCTTTTCACCCCAATGGGATTAGTCCACAGCACTCACTCCAGTGGAAGAGGTCTCCTGTGCATTCCACCTAATAAGAAATTCCAGCTGGTGAACTCAAGAAGAATAATCTTTTTCACCTGGCCCCCACCTTGTGAGATCATTCCCCTCCTTTTGGCTTTTGGAGGGCCATTAAAACCTAGTTTTGCCAGTTGGCTCAGGGCCCCTAGGGGCACTCCTTGCTTGAGATAATTGATGATGTAAGAATATCTCATTACAGTGCTATCTACCATTTGGTTTTCTATGTATATAATTTGTAATTTTAATGTTTTTATATTTATATTTTTAAACTTCCTAAAGTCACCTTATTGGTGAAATGGGGGGGTTATAAATTTAATAACTAAATAAAACACACAAATGAACACAAATACAATTCTGTTAAATTTGTCTGATACTGAATACATTGAAAATTTCCTTAAATTCAAACTCAACTGGTAATCTACATGGATATAGTTATTCACTTTTCTTGAGAATAATGCAGAAGTGGTCATTAAAAAATTCTATGTATTTCTATGGGAGGTGGCAAAAAATTAAATATTGAGACATGCTTCAAAAAGTAAATGTGTGTATTGTGTAATAATTCACATTTCTCATAGTCCTTCAAACTTTGTTAGTAATTAATAGTATGATTAGTAGCTGTGCCATGCAGAAATTATTAAGAATTTTCTGAACGAAATACTGCATTTTTCTGAAGTTTTTATATCTTAATACAATAGAAATAGTTGGTAGTATGATTAATTATTTACTTGTAATTTTTAATCTAGATAATTCAACTTACTGGACGTGCCAAATCTCAATATGTATCACTCTGTTTCTGGAGCTAGTCATCCTTTGCAAGTTGAAGAGCAAGAAATAGGGATTGATCCCCTTCAGTGTTATGGGAACAAAACTGATGAAGGTGAGTATATAATTTCTAGTATTGTAGTTGCACTTTAAAAATATTTGGAAAAGCTTGGAATGACAGCTTTTGATATAAATTTCAGGAGAAGACTTGTTTTGTTTTCAAATCAATAAAATACATAAACTCTAGGAAAGAGAGGATAAGAATGACCACCTCAACATAAAGCCATCTAAGCATGTCTCCAGTTCCCTAGGAGCCCCAAGCCTAATAATATAGCACAAGTCTTGAGACACTTAAAGAATATCAAAAGGAATGGAATTAATCTAATTTCAGGCCAAGAATATTCCACAAGATGGGCATCTCCTGGCATCCACCAAATGTAGATCTCTAGTTGATGGAACTTGCAGCATACCTTGTCTGTCAGATCTGATGGGATAGGCTGATGTAATTAAGTCCCTCAGAAACCCATGCTATAAAGATTAAAACCAGATAGCCTCACAACTTCCATTGGGTAAAATATTTGCGGTTTCATTTAATTTTCCAGGGTAGAGATATATAATTGGATATCATCAGTCTACTAGCAATCATTGTTGTTTGGCAGTGGATGAGATTACTGAGCATCCTGTTGCTAAACTAAAGTTCCCAGCATTTCTCACATCTCCCCATGCTGGTTGACTGCTCTGATGCTTATTCTGTTTCAATAATATCTATAAGGCTAGAGGTTTTCCACCCTCTATTATAATCTTGCCAAAAACTTTTTTTTAGTATATATAATCTAATGTTTATAGATACTCTTTTCTGCTGCTCAACTGAGTGTGCGGTTAGGGGCTATGTCATATTGGACCGATCCTTTATATCAATTCATATATCCTTATGAATATGCATCCATTACCTTTATATATAAGGATTATATTCTCTGATTGGCTAGGAGTTCTCGCAACACTGGTAACACAAAGTTCAGTTTGAAGGGCCTGTGGTGCTTTCTGAGCTTGATAGTTATTTGGAAGAGTTTCATTACCCAAACTATGTAAGATAATCAGTGCTAGTATGGAGTGGGGTTTGCTCTCAATTTATGGTTTAGTGGCTTGCCATGGTAGGAGTAGTCTTGATGGTTATTTGGTTGAGCTGTTTACTGTTGGCTCATTTGGCAGTTCTTTGATTGCGGTATTGTTCACTTCTTGATTGTTGGTCTGATATTAATCAGAAAAAAAACCTTCTAAGACCACTCTGACCAATACTGACAAGGCAAGCTTCCAGAATATTAATTGAGTGGAAACCCCACCTTACTAGCACTGATGATATTGTCTAGTTTGGGTAATGAAATCTGCAGGAAAACAATCAAGTTCAGAGAGCACCAAGGACACCTCATTTCAATTCTAAGCTATAAACATTCTCCTTTAAAGTTCATTTTGCAATTATATTTTATTTTATTTGTTTCTTTTTCTTTTTTTGTACCTAGTTACCTCTATAAGGGAAGACTTCTTAATTTTTTTAACTTTAACATTGCTATGACATATAAAGTTATTAGTATTTGAATTGATGTTTAAAAGAGCCATTAATTCATTTACCCCAAATCTTCATTAACAATGTAAATGTATGCTGATGTTCTATGAGACAAGGAAGTGACTAATGACTCTTCGCACTAACAACACTTAAAATGAATAGAAACTTAAGATAGCTAATCTTGAAGTAATCAAGACCCTCATTCAGCTTGGCATCTCTGTATGCTCTAAAACAGCTGTCAACTGTTAAAAATATATACACAACACAGAGATATGCACATGCAAAGATAGACATATGTAAATATATAGTTCCTCAAAGTCATAAAGGTTACCAACCATGATACATTTTTACATTCTATATGTAAATATTTTATATAAAGCATCTATTTCATCCCCATGACTTTTTTTACAGTGAAACACAAACTGCATTTTAATCTAATGCCATATGCAGTCAAGATTCATAATCTTTTATTTTTATACTATTATTTAAAATAAAGCAAGATGTGGATATTGACAGTAGAATGGACTTTAGCATAGTTTTCTTAGCACAAATGCCATAACTCAGAAATTCAGTATTAAGTGACTACAATTGTTCTATAAAAAAAGGTAGATGTACTGGGTACTTTGCATAAATCCTCCCCTGCTTATATGCTACAATACAGTTAAATTAGTCTATATATGCATCTGATATTTAGGAATTTGTGGCTTGATAGTAAGGTTTTAATCCAGATAGAAAAGATAAATTCAGCATCAGCTCATTTATGGATAATATAGCTTTCATTGATTAATGATGAAACTATATAAAAAAGCATGCTAAAATTGACCATTTATGTTGAAGAAAAAGTCTCTACCTTTCTTCATAAAACAATATTGAAGTAACAGCTTTTTATTATGGTAAAATTACACACACAAATACACATACACAATTTGAACAATCTCTGTAGCATTGAATTGTCTTTTCATAAATATTCTATCAGCCTTTACCATTTATTTACATTTAATTTATTTAAATATGAATGGAGGATTTGTTCCATTTGTTCAAAAAATAATAAGTTTCTTGATTCATCTTTAAAAATGCACTTGGCTAATTGCGAATAATACTGTCTTTAATTATTAGCTATGAAGTCATCATTAGTCAGATTAATCCTATATGAGAGAGAAGAGGTGATATTCTGAATATGTTTAATGTCTCTACATATATATCATGTATTTATTGTTTAGAGAAACTTACTGTCTTAAATATATGACTGAAGTGTTTCACTTTCATCTTCTAGACCGAGTAGTACATTTGCATCTATAGAATTTACATTTGTTTCATACCTACCCATGGAATTTATAGTATTCTTGACTCAACCATTTTGGCTCCCTTGATTCTCTTTGATACAAGAGGAAAGATGAAAAATCTCTGTTAGGATTTCTAGATTTTGTTATTATACCACGATCAGTAAAATAGAGTTCCAATAAACTTTGCAGAATCTATTTTCTGACCGTGTCTAGTTTGAAGGAGTGGTTTGGATTGTTCCATGTCTTCGCCAAGAGAGAAGATGCATAATTGTCAAAGCAATTGGATATTGAATAGAATAAATTCAAAAATGAAAACCCATCCAATGTGACTGTTAAGACTAAAAAAAAAAATCTGTCCCAATTTATATTTTATAAAGATTTTGTTTCTGATTTTGGTATTTCGGTGATACCATGTTAAGCTAATTTAATGTATTTTTGTGGTTTAGTCCCCAACCCCTGATCTGTGGGCTGGCATTGGACCGTAGAATGCCAAGAACTGGTCCATGCAAACAAGCAAAGTCCCATCTGCGGGATGCAGGCAGCACACTAACCACGCCCCCTCCCGTCTACGGAAAAACCTCTCTCCACAAAACCAGTCCCTGTTGCCCAAAAGGCTGGTGACCTCAGGTTTAGTCTATGAGCCAAACATCCAGATCTGCTATGCAAGAGATAGATATGCACATAATTTCTTTTTTAACACATCAGGTAGATATTAATTATAAACAATCAATATTTCTAGATATAAATAAGAGATATAATTCCTCACTTGATACAGTTACACAAAGAAATAGATCATTGGAGTTGCTTTGGTTATAGGGCCAATCAGAAAAGGTAAGAATTAAACATGAAAATTTTATTTTAATATGACAGGTATTAAAAATATGTCTCAAAATATTTGTTTGGCTTAGAAAGCTGTGAGTTATGAACAATTAAGACTTGTGTAGAACATTCAATACTGAAACTTATTCAGTCTGCTTTATTTTATTCTCTCTAAATAGCATCAAAACTTCCTTCTGTTTCATCCAACACCAGATGCTACTTAGCAAGCTTTTAATAGTCATTTATTAATAATAGCTTCTGTGTAGTTTGATTTTACTTGAACAGCTACAGATTTCTAGTGACAAAGGCCATTGGAATATCACTTCTCCACTTATGTTTGATAATAATTATTCCTGTCACTTGCTTCTTAAATAGTGTTCTCCTGTTTTGTAGTCTCTTGTATATTTTCATGTATAGTAAAAATTGGAGCATAAAACACAGTGAGCATCATTGTTTCTCTTTTTCAAGAATTAACATAGCTTAAATAATATTTTTAAATATATCTGAACTAATTTATCAACTCTCATGCCACTTGTATACCTCAGTACTATTTAGGTTTTGAGGATACTGCATTTGAAATCAGCTGATAAGCTTAAATACCTATTTACAATTATTTGCTTTTGATTGCTGATGTAGGAAGTATTGGCCTAATTTTGGACATAGAAGGTAATCTACAAAATCAACATAAAAATGATGTACACTTGAAAACATTGAGTAATAAAATTCCTGTGGCAGTTCTTTCAGTTTATATATGTAATTTATATAAATGTAAAAATGTCTCCTATAAAATAAAGTAGAATGAATCATTTAACAATGGTAGTAGATAATAAAATAATTCTCCCATCAAAACTCCTACTTTTTAAGGTTATAGTTCTCATCTGCAAATCTATTGTTCTTCACATAATCTATATAGTAGTAAATAAAATTCTAGCATCTATGTTATTAAATTGATTAATATTTTATTTTTAGGGTTTTTTTCTGACAGCTCAGATTCTTTAAATTCTTAAGAAATCAATCTGTTGTCATGATGTTTTGAGATCCAAATACAGCTTCCCAACAAGTTTTGTTTCTTTAGTTAAAAATAAAGTTACAATAGATTAGTTATAATTTTTAAATTAAATAGAAAACTGTATGCAGTTAATGGAAAAAGATTTGAGTCCATTCTTTAAATATTTAATAATATCATCTAGTCTCAAATTATGTATTTTAATTCAAAAATCTCTTCCAAGAAAATGAAATAAAATCAGATGCTCTGGATTTGAACCTGATTTGTCATAAATACTTAAATTTAATGTAGAAGTCTAAATAAAGATGTTGAACTTATTTTAAATCTTCATAGTCCAGTCAGTATCGTAAGTCTTTCAGTGTAACTGCATTAGGACATATAATATGAAGAAATACAAGATAGTCACGACACATACCTGATGGTGTTTTTTGCCATTTTCGACAAGG